TGACTGAGGTCATGATCTCAGGGTCATGAGATCGAGCCCCACATCAGGCTCTGAGCTCAGTGGGGAGTCTGCTTAAGATTCTCTCTCTCAGGGCACCTGGGTGGCTCAGTCAGTAAGCATCTGCCTTCAACTCAGGTCATGATCTCAAGGTCCTGGGATCGAGCCCCACATCGGGCTCCCTGCTCCGTGGGAAGCCTGCTTCTCCCTCTCCCACTCCCCCTGCTTGTGTTCCCTCTCTCGCTGTGTCTCTCTCTGTCAAATAAATAAATAAAATCTTTTAAAAAAAGATTCTCTCTCTCCCTGTCCCTCTCCCCCCAAAAAACAATCAAACCATCTCTCCCTCTCCCTCTCCACACACACACACACACACACACACACACACCTCCATGGGTGATAGTAGCCCTGGAAAGCTTTCAAGGGTGAGTGCAGAGCAGGACGCACCTCTGTCACTCTGCATACCTATGGTATTAAAGGTGAAATGACTGCTTTGTTCAAGCCACTTTATAAATGTAACAATGTAACATCCCAGCCCTTCCCTTCCCCTAAGTAGAATGGCTTACAGGACTGAGGGCTGAGGCAGAAGTGGAATTAAGGCCCCATCCCTCCTTCACTGACTGGCCAGAGACCCCTTCCAAGTAGGGTGGGCTTTCCTGGGGAAAAGGGGATGTGAGGGAACAAGGAAAGACCCAGGGTGTGGGGAGCTGCTCTTGAGGGCGGGGTGGGGGAGGTCCCTGGGCACAGAGGAGCTGCCTTGGGGATGGATGCCCCATCATCTCCCCACCCTGGCCTCCTATCAGAATTCCCGTCAAAGTCAGCTCCACGTGGCCGTCGGAGTGGTTTTCCTAAAGCACCCATCATGACATTTGCCATGTTTCAAGGTCCTTGCAAGGCTTTCCTGTGACCTTAAGATAAAGCCAAATGTCCTTCCTATGACTTACAAGGCACTGTGTGACCTGGTCGTGGCCTGGCCAGCCCCTGCCCTACTCAAACCTTGGCCAGATGGAACTCACTAGACCCCAGTATGTGTGCTTGCCTCTGTCTGGGACACTCCTTATCTCCTCCTCCGCTGCAGCACACCCTTCAAGTCTCACCTGGGCTAATGGCTCCCTCCCCTCATCTACAAGGCAGCCTTGCACTCCTCCTCTGGGTCCCCAAGCCCTGGCTTAGTGACCTCTCCAGAACTTCTGTAGAGAAGGGCCTTAGACTCAGGCATGTGCTTGGGTGGCTTTAGGGGGCCTAATGGTGATGTACAGGAGCAAATTTTGCCATCCCAAAATATGCCTTTTTGGCATATTGCTTATTTTAAACTGGTTATTTTTAAGAACCTGCAGACACAAGAGAAGTTCTGAAAACCACTAGAAGTTACCATTTTGTAAGAGACATTTGATGTGTATAAGGGAAACTCCATTTGTAAGAGTGTCTCCCTCTCTGTACCAGGAAGAGGGGGATGACTCTAAATCTCTAGAAACGCTATCAGTGGAAAAGGCTTGGACTTAAATCTGCCACAACCTGACCCTTGTTGACTGTGCTTTTCCTGGTCACCTCCCATAACTGACTCCCTACCCCAACACCTTCTTTTGTCTTTAATTGGAGATGGTATCTAAGGTGATGACTTCAGCCACTTCAGGAGCTATTCCGTTTCCCTGGGTCTCCCCCATGTACAGAGAAGGTATACATGCTATTAAACACTGTTTGATTTTCTCTTGTTAATCTGTCTCATGTCAGTTTGATCCTTCGACCAGCTAGAAGAAATCCCCCCTCCCACCCAGCAGTGATCAAGGGCTGATCACAGAGGACTGCTCCTGCCCTACCCTTCCCAAGAATGGCCACAGCTACCTGTTTTTACATCTCACACCACCTGGTGCCTGGTACAGCCTGGCACACAGTGACACTCGCTAAAGATCACCACTCCCTGCTCTGCATTCTTCCATTTGCTGTCTGGCTGGGTGACCTCTCTCCAATCTCTTCCCCTCTGGGAGTCTCCTCGGTTAATCAGAGCCTTGCTTTCATCCACAAACTCTGAAGTTCTGGACAACATAAAGGGGGATGATGATATCACCCTAGGAATGCATGTTCGTGATAAATTGCAGAGGATTTTTGAAGTGTTATAGAACAGCATGTACAGTCCAAAATGTGCATCTAGAAAATAATTACCATCTATTGGACTTAGTCGGAGCTGGGCTCTGATGCATTAAGAATGTCACTGTGTGTACCACCTCATTAATCCTTACCACCTTGCCGGCTGGATACCGCCAGCAGGCCCTGTAAGGAAGAAGCAGCTAAGGTCCAGAGCAGCCCCCTAGCTAGCGAGGGGCAGAACTGGACTTGACCCCAGCTTTGCCAAGTCCAAAGGCCATGCATGCTCTTCACTGCCTGGCCAGTTGGTACCTCTGTGCAAATTGGGAATAATAATAGCTCCCACCTCATAGGGTTGTTGGAGGATTAAATGAGCTAAGAGGTGCAAAGCCCTGAGGGTGGCTCCTGGCAGAGCCTAAGGGCTCAGCCAGCACCGTCACCCACAGCCGCACCAGACTGCCTCCAGGCGGGCCCTGCAAGATCATACTCAGAAAGAGTTAACGGTGGTGTCTCTCTGGTCCTGAGGTCCTGGGTGATCATTTTCTTTTTTCTTTTTCTGTACTAATCAGGTATTCGTTGTATATTTCTTTCTTTTTAAATTCTTGCATGAATGATGCCCTCAGTGAGCTGTCACTCTTCTTAAAGCAGGCCCATGAGATGTCTGAGTCACCTCCCCAAGGCCTGGCACAGGGAGACCCCCAGGGAAAGGGTCATAGCATGGAACAGCTCAGAGGAGCCCTCCCGGCCCAGGCCCTCCAGCCACACGCTTGGCAGGAGCTGGAGCTGGGGGTGTGGAGTGCGGATCAGTACCAGGAACTGGCCCAAGCTAAGCCTCTTCTTTGTTGGCATTCCCCAAAAGGCACAATGAGATGCCTTGTGGCTCTTCCGGGCCCCAGGGGAGCGGTGGGAGCAGCCGTGATGCGTGAGACCTCCGGCCCTGAATCCACCAACAGCTGTGACCACTTCAGCTATTTTAAACCCTTGGGCACTGGGAGGCTCCCCGCACACCGAACAGGCGCTGTGACCCAACACCCATTGCAGGCCTTGAGCCAGGGGCAGGAACCTGAATGTGGGTCCACTGGGTCCAGGTTGGATTTTTTAAGGAGAGGGAGTTTCATCTCTTGAGTGCTTGCTTTGTACCAGGCACTGTGTTAAGTGTTTTCCACACGTTGTCTCATTTAATGCCATCCTCACCTCTATGCTGAGACATCCATCAGTCATTCACAGATGACAAAAACGAGGTGCCAAAGGGCAGGGCGAATTGCCCAGGGCTCCACAACGGCAGTCTCCACAAAGGAACTAGAACTTGGGTTTCTTCATCTACCAGTTAAGAGACAGTGTTCCTTCTCCGCCCTTACCTGCCCGCCCCCCACCTTGCCCGTTCCCCTACGGGCCACGAAATTTCCTACCCTGGCCCCGCCACTCTCCGGAGCTGGGAGACTGAGGGCAAATTCCTTAACCTTTGTGCGGCTCGCTTTCTTCATCTGGAAAGTGGCAGGGTTATTGGGAGGGGCACAGTGATCCAACCCTAATACATGAAAAGCGCCGCTGGACCCGTGCCCGGCGCACAAGAAGAACGCATTCAGGGCCCGCTCACTCCTTCTCTCCGGGCAATCACCGCCCCTTGCCTGACGTTGTCACTATTCTGCTCCCCATCGTGACCTGCCAGGCCCCAGGGTGGGGGTGCAGCGTTCCTCCCCCCAACTCCAGGGCCCTGGCTCCCCCATGGGTGAGATGAGGGTACCATGCTTTGTGACCCCAAGAAGGGGGGGACCTCTGGCATATGCCCAGTATCTGCCCCATAGTAGGGGCTCAAAAGTAATTCCAGTGGAGGGGTGCCCAGACAAGAGCCCACCTGGGGGGACTCCCAGATGCACAATCTTTCTCCTCTTTGGCAGGTAGCTGCCCTTGAGCTGTCTCCTGAGTCTCACTCCTGTCAAAAGTTACCAGGGTCTCCCTGGCTCTGTGAGCCTCTGGGGGCAGATGCCCCCCCCCCAGCCCAACTCAGACCTTTCCCTTTGTCCACCCACATTCCTCCCAAATCCTGGCTACCCACGAGCCACCGGGCTCATCACCATCTCCTAATTTGGGCCGCCTCAAAAAGGCCGCTGGGGTCAGAGGCTGGGTGTACCTCAGCTCTGGGCGCTTGTGAGCCTCCATCCTCTCATTCAGGTGCACCCCCTCCCAGGGCTCCCATTCTCCCAGCAACACTACTCCCTTCTCAAACATGTACCCCCTCCAGCCTGCCCCCTCCTTCTTGTAACCTCTGTCCACTCGGGCCCCTTCTCGCTGAAGAAGCCACCCCGGGGCTCCCACTGCACACCCAGCCAGCAATGCCTTGGCTTGGCATTCTGACCCTGTAGGCTGCTGGGTTCCCCTGCCAACCGCTCCCCATTCTCCCCGATCGGTGGGGGTGGAGGGGATGTCAGCTTGTGTTCGGCTCCCTGGCTTCGCTCCCAGGACTCCCTCTCCTCCCTTCCCCTTAGTTTGCAAACGCCTCCTTTAGAAAGGCTCAGGCCCGGACCCCAAGCTGGGCTAGTGCGCCCACTTCTTCTGGGCTGCCACCACTCCCTGTTCTCGCCCCTATGACGGCTCCACAGCTGCTTTATCTGCCCTGAAAAGCTGGGGGCGCCCGGAGGGGGAGGCTGGCCCTGCGTCCTGGCACCGGGTAGCTGGGAGCCCACTGAGAGTACGCTGAGTGAGTGAACCAAGCGTGGAAAGGAGGAAATTGGCAACCGCTGACTTCACCCGGATTACAGGCCGGGGGTTGGGGAAGGGCGGAGGTGCGCGGGCGATGGGGGGGGGCGGGGGGGGAGTTGCGAGAAGTGTGGGGGCGTGGCCACGCTTGACGGACGGGCCCCCCGCCCCCTGCGAGAGGAGGCCGACCGGCCGCCCCGCCCACCGGCCGCAGATAAAGCAGAGCGCCGGGCCGCGGCGCAGGCAGCGGGAGTGGGCTCACCTGCCGCAGGTGCCCCGGGGCGGACCCGACCTGGACGAGCGAGGAGCGGCACTGCGGGAAGATGCTGCGCGAGCGGACCGTGCGGCTGCAGTACGGGAGCCGCGTCGAGGCGGTGTACGTGCTGGGCACTTACCTCTGGACCGATGTCTACAGGTGAGTGGGGCCACCGCGACGGCCTGAGACCCTCCCCCCCGACCCCAGAAATCCCGAGACCCTCCTCGGATGTGGGGACGCGACGGCCTTCCTCCAGCGCGAGTTGCTCCTCGTCCTGAGGCCCTTGCATCCAGAAATCCTAAGAAACTCGCTCAGAAGCCTGACTGTCCTCAAACTGACAACCTCCCGGAAATCTTGAGACCCTCTCCCACCCCGACCCAGACCCAGCTCCCTCGTCACCCCTTTCCCAGAGCCCCTCCCCTGGACCCCAGTCTTCCCAGGGTCTGACCCTCTGCAGCCCCTCTCCCAGGACAACCTGGGAGAACCCTAGTCTTTCCCCTTGCTCTCCCCTCAGCACCTCCCTCCCCCCCCCCAGGCTCTCCCCTTCCTCTCAGAACCTTCTGACTCACCACCCACCTCAGATCAGCTGAGCTTCCTCCAGGATCTGCTGGGGGAGGGGGGGTGAGGGGGGGGGGCGTGGGGCCGGGCCAGAGGGGAGCTGCCTTGGGGTGGAATCTGGCCCTGGGGGTTACTCAGGCTCCAATTTCACCCTGTGGGGGCTGCTGGTGGTTGCCTGTCCCCAGGCACTGGCTGTGAGCTCCATGTCCCTGAATGCCTTCCCCTGACTTCACCCTGGGGTTGGGGAGGACTTGGTTCTGCCAGGCTGGAGGGTGCAGGGGCAGGGTGTTTGGCAGAAGAGCGTCCCTGACGGCACCCTGTTCCCTCCCCCTCTCCTCTGGCCCACAAATTTGGGTGGGGTGCAGGATTTCTGAGACAGCAGGGCATAGGGTGGGGAAATTGAGGTCATGCCCCTCCCCACTGCCCCCAGCCCCCAGGAAGCAGGCAAGTCCAAAGGTCCACCTCCTGTATTCTGTGGGGCATCCTTGCGAAGGTGTGGCCGGTGTGCATTAAGGGGTGGAAAGGGTCCCGGCAGGGTCATTCCATGAGCATTCTATCAAAGCAGCACTCTATTCCAAGCATGCAAAATGTTTCCCCCTAGCTAGATGGGACGGGTCAGCGCTGACAGGAGGGAGCATGCAGGACTCCAAGGTGGGACCCCACGCTGATAACCTCAGGCAGGTCCCCTAACCTCTCTGTGCCTTGAGCTGAGCTGGAGGTGCCAATGTGCCTTATTGCTCCCAGATCATTTTGTCCTCCAGAGCACCCCGCCTCCCCCAGACCCTCACCAAATCCCATCCCTGTGTCTTCCCACACACCCTCCCCAGCCCATCTTCTCGGTCACCTCCGGTGGCCCTGGCAGCCCTGCCCAGCCAGTCCCCTGCCACCTCTTCAGCAGGCACCAGCCATGCTGATACCATTAGGGCCCCAGCCTCCTTCTGTGAGGACAAGGGTCCCGTCACCATGCAGACCAGGGACCCTCTCCGCTCATCTGCCCCTGGCCTCAGTTGTCCGCACGGACACCTCAAGGGTGGTTTCTGAGGGTCATAACACAGCAGGGGACTGTGGGCCCGGCCTCAGTGGCCTGGAAGAGCTCCCCTCTTTTCCCCACCCCTGATCCTAAACCGGGCACTGCCAGGGAGCGGGCCAGGAGCCAGTGCACTGAGGTCTCTAAGCCTCAGCTGTCCCTATACCCGCCTGTTTGTTCACTGGGGCACTTTTGCTGCAGCCTGAAAGGCTGGCATGGTGCCTCTGGTGGGGGGATGGGGAAAAGAGGGGGGCCATGCTCGGGCCTCCTGCCCTGCCCCGTCCTGGAAGAGAGAGGCCCAGCCCCAGCGGGGGCAGTGCATGGGGCAGGGGTGGACTCCTCCTCCTCCCTCTGGCAGGGGGCAGAGGTGTGATGATCCCCTGTGTCCTTTCTCAAGAAAGCCACCACTGCCACGATGACCCCCGTCTCCCAGCTGCACTTCACTCAAGACCCCATTACCCCCAAGAGTAGAACCCCAAGAGTCTACACCAGCGCTGTCCAGCAGAAATAGCATGCCAGCTACAGAGAGTGGCAGGTGTACATTTAATTTCCAACAGCCACATTTTTTAGGATTCAAATAAAGAGGTGAAATTAATTTTCATAATATATTTTATTTAACCCAAGAGATCTAAAATACTAGTACTCCCATATCTAATCAATACAAAAATGATTAAGGAGATAGTTTACATTGTCTTTTTTCATACTAAGTCTTTGAAATCCAACGTGTATCTTATACGTAGGGCTCGTCTCAGTACAGACTCACTGAATTTCAGGTGCTCAATATCCACAGGTAGCTGGTTGTCCCTGTACTGAATAGCACACGCAGTGGTTCTGACCCTCGGCTCTAGTGCATATGGAGCCGGATAATCGTTTGCTGTGGGAGGCTGTTCTGTGCGTTGTAGAACGTTTAGTGGCATCCCTGGCTTCTTAACCCCTAGATGCCCGTAGTAACCCCCCTGCCACTGTGACAACCCAAAATGTCTCCAGATAATGCCAGCAGTCCCCTAGCAGGAGGATAAAAACACCTCTAGTTGAGAACCACTGGTCTAGTGGAAGGAAACCTCTTCTAGAACAAAGGAGATGGGGCTATTACTGCTCTTGTCACTCCTAGTATCCAGAGTGGTAAGAGCTAGTGTCAGTATGAATAATAGCAGGGATATTAGTGAGCACTTGGAAACCTAATGCATTCTCTTGTATCTTCCTCACCACAGACCTTGGGGGTCATGCTGAGATCATCCCATTTTGTAGACGAGGAAGCAGGGCTCAGAGAAGTGAGGCCAGTTGCCCGATGTCACACAGGATTCAGGTCCAGGTCTGTCTGACTCAGAACCCATGCTCTTAATCTCCACTCTCTTCTGTGTGACTTGAAAACTAGCAAGTTGAACTGGGTGACCCTCTCAGCCTGGGTCTCTTCCACCCTCCATTACCCCCAAACACTTCACCCACCCCCTTTCGGAGTCCTTCTGGACTCAGACACAGGTTCTGACTCTAGACCCCACATGATGCCCCCCCCCTACCCAGGGTCTCCAAGGAGACATCAAGGGGCAAGGCCTGGTGGACCCTGGGCCCAGTTAGTAAGGGAGTATGTTTGGACCCCTCACTTCCTGAGTGACAAAAGTGAATGAACAAGTCTCAACACCCACCCCCTTTCCCAAGGGCTTGGGCCCCCTTTCCTGAGATGCACGCGCTGCCCCCCTTCCCTGCAGACACACAGTCGGGGCTTCCCCTGTGGGTGAGGGGGTCACTCAGGGATTCCTCAGCAGACCCTATGGTTGACCCACCCTTGGGGGTGACGCCCTGACCCAGACACATTCTGAGTGCTGGTTTCCAGCGAGCTATAAGTAAGTAAATGCACAGAAAAAAAGGAAGAAGGGATTTTTTTTTCCCCCTAGAGATTTACTTTGCAGCAGTTGTTAAAGGTACTTCCTGTTTCCTTCTCTCAGTCCCAAGCATCTTCTCTTAGATCTGGCACATGTATGCCTTGCCCACACCATCTCCCCGACAGTCCCTTTACCCGGCAGCTGCTTCCTCGCTGGGGCTGACCCGGGTCCCCATCTGCTTTGGGCTTAAACCTGGAGAGGGCACAGAGCGAGTGGCCTCTCCATGTTGGTTTCAAACTCCCTACTCATTTTGGTTTCTCTGCGGAAACACCCCCAGAGCCGGGAAGGATGAGAGAAAGGGCAACCTTGGAGTCAAGTAACGGGGTGATCACACTGTGCCTGACTGTGTGGGCACACAAACCGGGCTGTGTAGACAGCTTCTCCTCTCCCTCCCTTGGTTTATGCATCTGTCCAGGGGAGTGAGAGACATCCCCTTCTCTCTGGGGAAGAAACGTCAGGATCCGTTTCCTAAAGTCTGCAGGAGCTTCAGGGCACAGATGACCTTAACAATGGTCTCTTGCCTCTGCAGAGCACTCTCCTAATTACATTTGACCTCAGGATGAGGTGGGAGGTAGGAGCGATCCCCCACCCCCTCCCCTGGGATACCCCAAGGCAGAGGCTGGCCGGTCATTTTTCCTGACGGTGTCTTGCCCATCACTCTCTAGCAGAAGATAGGCAGAGGGTACTGGGGCAGGAGAAGCAGGCACAGTAAAATGCTGGGAAAACAGGGAAGGGCACAGAGATGTACCCCACCTTGGGGAAGAGCCTGGAGAATCAAAATTCACCATCTCACTCCCTCGACCCTTAGACTTCCTCCCCATTGCTCAGTTGGTGTGAGTGTTTTAGAAAGTATCCTTAGGACAAAGGCCAAGGAGGGGGGTGGTCTGTGATCCAGTTAGAAGCATTAGAGAAGTGGGGTGCCATGGTCTCCCCGTCCCTGAGAGATCCAGGCCCTGCCTCACTGATCCCATCTCCTGCCGACTACCCTGCACACACTCCACTCTGGCCACGTTGGTTTTGTGGATGCTATTAGCTCTTGACCACACCAAGCTCATTCGTGCCACAGGACCTTTGTACGTGCTATTCCCTCTGCCTGGAGTACTATTCCCCAGACCTCTGCAAGCCTGACATTTCATCCATCAAGGCTTACTCAGACGTCACCTCCTCTGAGCAGCGTTCTTCACTACCCTCGTTTCGTGGTACCCCACCTCAAGCCCCAGGCACTCTCCACCTCTGTACCATTTTTCCTCTTTTATCCACCTCTTTCTCCTCTCTTTGTCCAATTCGCTCGTTCTCAAACTGTGATCCCTGGACCAGCAGCGGTAACAACAGCAGCTGGCAACTTGTTAGAAACGCAGTTTCCAGGTTACACATTCGTGATGTTAAGACCGTGCCTGTGTCGCCAGGCCTTGGTCCTTCCCCAGGTCTGGTTTTATAAACACTGGTGACCAACCATGTCTGGTTTACATCGTGCGTCTTCTGTGGGAAGTGCCTATGATTCTGGGTATCTGATCAACCTCAAGAAATGATAGCACATTTGGTGTCATAACTTTTGGGAAGATAACCCTTGTTAATTTGCCATTAGATGAATTCTAAAACTAAGAAAAGAAAGAAGTATAGTTTCTTTCCACAATGTAATATGTACAGCAAGTCATCACGTTGGGCACTTTATATATGATTATATCTGTCGATTGTTCCCCCGCCAATTTGGGGGAGAAAAAGAAATATAAACCATGTTTCTCAGGCTCCACCCCAGATCAGCTAAGTCAGAGATGGGATGGTCCAACAGTCTGTATTTTAACAGGCCCTTCAGATAATGCTGACACACATTCCAAATTTAAGATCCGCTGGTCTAGTTAATGCTTGCTGTCCTTCAGAGTATAGGGTTAGACCCCAGCTCCAATGCCCCTTCCTCCAGGAAGCCCTCCTTGACCTGCAGACCAGGGCTTCATGGCACCCTATGCTTCTATGTTAAAGCCATTCTCATCGCCAAAGCCACATCATCAGCTGTGTAACCCACTGAAAGTCTTCCTCTTCCATGAGAACGTGTGCCCCATGGGCCCAGGGAACATGTTCTCTCTTTTGCTGATCTACCCCTAGCACCTAGAACTTCCTGGCACATAGTAAGTCCTCGGTCAATATGTGTTGAGGGCATGAGTGACCACATAAGCAAGCCCTGCTCTTCCAGCCCTTCCTTCAGCAAACACTTTGAGCTACTATGAGCCTGGACTGGGCCAGGGGCTGAAACAGAAAGAAGAGACAAACCCCACCTTCAAGGAGCTACAAGGGAAAAAGACACGGATGGAGACAAATGTATTGAGTCGGGTCTTTAGCGAGGGATGGTCAGTTGCCCGGCAGAGAAGTCAGGGAAAGGAAAGGTAGAAGGAACTGCATTTGCAAAGTGCCACAGTGAGCTGGGATAGTGCAGGCCTGAGAGGCTGGAGAGTCAAGCTGAGACCCAGGGGCTGAATGTCACTGGTTGGGTCCCAACTTTTATCGTATCGGCTGGCACTCAGGAGCCACTGAATATTTTCAAGCAAGCAAGTAACCTGATGTCTTTTTTTTTAATCCCTCTGCTAATACAGTTTGGGAAGCCAAGAAGGGTTGGTTCAGTCATTCATTTATTCCCAAAGTATATATGGAGCGTGGCCCTGTCCTGGGCGCTGCAGTGCGATGGTCGGTGGGGCAGATGTCCCGGGGACTGGCAGCCTGTCCTGGGCTCGCTATCTTTAGCCTCCATCCCACAAGCAGGAGGTCATGGCCACCACCAGTACCCCCACTCTCTCCCTCGACACCATCCTGAGCCCCTCCCTGCAGCCTCCAGGGACAGTCAAGTTGTCCCCAGCCCCTGGGTCTCAGGTTTCTGGGGGATGAGTTCTGCAAGGTTCTTCCCGGGCACGGAGGCAAAGCCAGCAGGATCCGCAGGGGACAATGGGTGCCTTTGTTGCTTCTGCCAGGGCCGCTCCAAGAATAGCTGTTTGCTCAGCTCAGAGCAGGGCTGGTGCTGGGGTAGGAGGGTGTGGGGCCCTGGAGCTCCAGTGCGGGCAGGGCGTTAAGCCCCTGAGCCTCTGGGGCCTCCTCCACTTTCTCCCTGGCCCAGAGGAACGAAGGTGGCAGGAGACATCGCTTAGAGCAACTATTGTCAGAGTCGGGTCCTAAAACTCATCCTGCCCCGTGAGTTTGTAAAGCATTCTTTTTCCTAAATAGAACTGAATGCAGAAACCCAATATGTAAAACCAGGTGAAATCTCAGTGGCTCTGCTTAAAGGAGAGTGGGGACCCAGCCAAGTGATCCCCAGCTTTTCCATGCCTCCCTCCTTACCTCTTTGTCCAGGGCTTGCCCCCTCTGCGCTGCCCGGATGGCAGCCACCACCCCTACCCAGTGCCACACACCACACTCCCATGTCACACTTGGTGAAACAGAGGGAAAGTGCCTTGCCCGAGACCATCCAGCAAGTTGATGGTCAAGGCTGGGACTTACACTAGAGGTGTATTTCCCTGACCCGAGCCCACCCACCATTGCTCAGACTAACCATATTCCACGTGTAGTGCTAATAACTTAACATTTTTCTTTACATCAACTCACATTTTATTACTTTGGGTTTTTTTTAAGATTTTATTTATTTATTTGAGACCGCACAAGAGAGAGCAGAGAGCACAAGCAGGGAGGGCAGGGGGCAGAGGGAGAGGGAGAAGCAGACTCCCTGCTGAGGGACTCGATCCCAGGACCCTGAGATCATGACCTGACCTGAAGGTGGATGTTTAACCGACTGAGCCACCCAGGCGCCCCTATTACTTTGTTTTAAATGGAGATCTTATGGGGTGTCTGGCTGGCTCAGTTGGCAGAGCGTATGACTCTCGATCTCAAGGTCATGAGTTTAAGCCCCACATTGGGCATGGAGCCTGCTTTACAAAATAAATAAATGGAGATCTTATATTATTACCATAAGTAGCAATCAGTGGCCATAAAAAGATAACACGTTTAATAAATACATAAACCTTCTTTTCGATTGTGCATCCCTGTGCCACCTGGCAGCATCTGACACACGCACCCTCTGGGCAATGCCACCAGGCACTCTAAGCATCTTCCCTCTGTCCCGCTCGGCTCCACCCTCTTTGCTGGGGTGTGTGCAGTGTGCCCAGCCCTATGCTGGACTCTGAAAGAGGAGGGATGGAAGAGACCAGACCTGCCCTCAGGGGCTCGCAATCCAGAGGAGGACAGGTACCCCACGGCAACACCCTGAGATGAAGGGCTGCCCCTGCCCGGGGAGGGACGAGGGGCAGAGCCTGTGGGGCAGCGGGGATGGGCGGGTGTCTTCCAGGTCAGCAGATGGACACTCAAGTCTCCCTCAGCGACTCAGTGGCAAAATTGGACCCAAACCCACATCTTATGCGAAAGTACCCCCAATCCAGGGTTTTTGCTGAGACTCCGCTTCCCCTACTGATGGGTGTGGACAGATGGCAGCAGACCATTGCCAACGAGTGTCCAGCCTCCGATCAGCCCAGTGACCCCGTGAGGGGCTAGGGAATTTAGAAGGGGGCAGATGGACAAGAAACAGGGTGGCTCCGGAGCTTTTTTTTTCAAGCTCTTCTCCCAGGCCCGGGTGCGGACTGCCAGGCCCTTGCCCACACTCTCCCGCAGTGGCCTCCAGACCAGTGGTCTTTACCAGCAGCCCCTGCAGTCGGTGGCCTGGGTCCTCAGAGAGACCCTGCAGGACTCACACTCATGGCCTTAGCCACCCCGGGGCTCTCACCAGCAGGCCACACTGCTGAATGTCTAGACCAGTGGTCCTCAGAGTGTAGGCCTGGGCCAGCATCACCAACCGTTCCTGGAGATGGGGTCCTCACTGCAGACCTATCGGATCTGAAACTCTGAGGAGGGGTCCAGCAATGGGCGTGTGGACAAGACTTCCAAGTAATGCTGCTGAGCTCTGAGAACCACTGGTGGAAACCTCTCATCCAACCTGACCTCTGCCCTGCCAGCCAGACTCTCCAGGGAAAGGATCTACAGATCTCTAGCCTTAACAAAACAAAAAACAAAAACCCAGAGATGTAGACTGCACCCCTGGCTGATTCTGACGCCCAACCATAGCGGAAAACTATTCTGGAACCCAGGAGCGCCAGGCCCTCAGAATAGCTGATGCGGTTTTGAGGCAGATGCTTGTACCTATAACTTAATCCCATGAGGATCCCACCTAAATCCCTCTGAGCCCTCTTCAGCCTCTGGAAACCTTCAGACCGGGGACTGGATTTAGCAAAACTGTCTGCCCTGAGCACCTTCCTCCCCCAGTCTCCCCATCCTTCCTATCACCTCCCCTTAAACCAGTGTCTTAAACCAGTAACAAAACACCGTGGGCTGGGTGGCTTAAACAAAGAAATGAATTTCTCACAGTCCTGGAGGGCTGGAAGTCTGAGATCAGGGGCCAGTGTGGTCGAGTTGGAGTGGGAGCTCTTCCTGGCCCACAGGCGACCACTTTCTCACTATGAGCTCATACGGCCTTCCTCGGAGTGCAGGAGAGAAAGATCTCTCTCCCCCTTCTTACAAGACGACCAGTCCTATTGGATCAGACTTCATGCTCATGACTTCATTTAATTCTATCTTCTGAAAGCCCTCTCTTCAAATGCAATCATGTCGGGCAGGGGTCAGGGCTTCGGCATATGAATTTGGGGGCACACAGACATGCATATAGCAACCAGATCAAATCAGTCTGTTTCCTGCCCTGAAATCTTCATGGCTTTTCAAGAATTCCGAAAGCACTAGGGCGCCTGGGTGGCTCAGCTGGTTAAGCATCAGCCTTCGGCTCAGGTCACGATCCCGGGATCCTGGGATTGAGCCCCGCCTCTGCCTGCTGCTCCCCCTGCTTGTACTTGCTCTCTCTCTGACAAATAAAAAAAAAAAAAAAAAAAAAAGAATTCCAAAGGTATCAGCCTTTAATAGAACACCACTCCAGAACCCCTAGGAATAACTCAGCCCCTAGGAATGACTCTCAGAGGAGGGAGTTCCAAGCTGGGAAAGAAAGTGTGGTGGGAGGGAGGGATCTTTGTGACAGAGCCAGCCCACCCCTGCCCTTTGAGGACCCAAGTCCCAGGCTCCTTCCCTGGGCAAACCCAGCGCTTTGACACCTGCCTCACGCCCTTCAGTCAAGTTCTGCCTGCAGTTCGCACACTGGATTGCGAGGTGGGCGCTGCCTTTGGAGCCAACTCATTTCTTGGTCTGGGCCTCAGTACGTGCACCCTTAGGGCCCCACATGGCTGTCCATCAGAAGCACAAGGAAGCCTGTTAAGAATTCAGATCCCCAGGCGCCTGGGGGGCTCAGTCGTTAAGCATCTGCCTTCGGCTCAGGTCATGATCCCAGGGTCCTGGGATCGAGCCCCGCATCAGGCTCCCTGCTCGGTGGGGAGTCTGCTTCTCCCTCTCTCTCTCCCTCTGCTTGTGTGCTCTCTCTCTCCTTCTCTGTCAAATAAATAAATAAGATCTTTAAAAAAATAAAATTAAAAAATAAAATAAAATAAAGAATTCAGATCCCCAGGCCCCACCCCCGAACATTCTGGCTCAGTGGGTACAAGACTGGCCCAAGGAACCTGTATTGTTACCAAGTATCCTCCCCACTACCGGGTGATTGCAGTGCAGCTGGGCCCTTGGGGGTCCCCCAGACCTGGCCACCCGGGGGGGGGGTGTCCCTTGCAGCCCCGCCCCTCCAGGAGTCCTTTTTGGAAGCCCTTCATTCCACCCGCCCTGGAATCCCCCCTCCATGACCCTCTCTCCTCTCTCCCGACAGCGCAGCCCCAGCCGAGGCCCAGACCTTCAGCCTGAAGCACTCAGAGCGTGTGAGGGTGGAGGTGGTGCATGATGGGCAGGCCGAGGAGGTGGCCACCAACGGCAAACAGCGCTGGCTTCTGTCACCCAGCACCACGCTGCGGGTCACCATGAGCCAGGCGAGCGCCGAGGCCAGCAGTGACAAGGTACCCTGGCTGGGGAGGTCCTCGGAGGGTGGCGGGAACCCGGGGCCAAGCTAGAGCAACACCATCCAACACAAACAGAATGCGAGCCACACTTGTCACTGCCACATTCCTAGTGGCCACACTCAAAGAACAGAAAGAGACAGGTGGGCTCCATTTTAGTAGTGCATTTTCCTTAACTCCATAGATCACCATATTATTATTCTGACATGATACCAACATAAAAAAAAACAATTCATGAGCTAGCGTACGTTCTTTTTCATACCAAGTCTCTGTCAAACTTAGAGCACATCTCAGATCAGATTTGCCATGTGCATGTGCGCAGGACACACCTGTGGCTGGTGGCTGCTGGACTGGAGGCAAGCTCAAGGCCAGACCGTGGAATGATGGCTTCGTGGAAGGTTAAAGCTGTGGGCTGCTTAGTGATATATTAGAATCACTGGAAGTTACAGCCCCAAACGTCCTTGGCCTCCTTGTGTATTAAATGGGGTGCCAAGTGCCCATGCAGCAGGGCGATTTGCCCAAGTGATGAAGCTGAGACCAGACATCTCTTCTCTGGCTTCTCTAGTTATGAACCTCCCCATGCGCCCTGTGGTAGTGATGGCACTGGGCATTATCCAAAGAAAACAACCTCAGCCCCGCCCCCTGGTGATTTAGCAGGAGCAAGTCACACACCATGGCAGATGGGGGAGGGGGCCGGGGCCGGGGCGGGGGCGGGGGGGAGGGGGCGCGGGGGGCAGGCAGCAGAATGCACCAGGGGTCATAGGTAAGCAGTCAGCACCCTGCATGCCCTCTGAGAGGAGGGGAGCCCCCTATCTCTTGGATAATTTGAGAGAAGCAGCCCACCAACCCAGGAATGCTTCCTGGAGGAGGGGGTTTGGATGTTTGGGGAGAATTGGCTTGACAGGCTGTGAGAGGTGAGTCAGGGAGGGTGGTCACTGCAGATTTCCCCACCTGTGATCTGTGATCTCTGCTCTTCTCTCCCTCCCAATGAACCCCTCCCTGCCAAGGTCACCGTCAACTACTACGAGGAGGAGGGGAATATGCCCATTGACCAGGCTGGGCTCTTCCTCACGGCCATTGGTAAGTTGATGTGGCTGTGGCCTGGGTGCTTTGCTCCCCAGGGGCTGACGCTGCTGCCCTTCTCAGCAGCACTTGGCCTGTTTCCCATGCTGCAGACCTGGCACTCGGGGCTTCCTCTGAATAATGCAGGACTGAGAAGTGATGCCACACATGCCCAGATCCTTCTGTCCCGGGGTGAGGGCTGTCCTGCAGGAGGAGGCATACCCTGGTCTGCCAGCACCTCGCCCCCAGTGTCAGCATCCCCACCCCAGGCTCTGTGGGCCACTGAGAAGAGCAAAGTCTGTTCCTCCCCGCCTCTCCCCTGCAGCCTGGAGAAGAGCTTGCCTCTCATAGCGAGGGAAATGACCGGTCTGCTCTGTCCCTGACAGTCCCAGCTACCCCCTTGCCCTCCCTAGACCCTGCCCTGGGAACACAGAGAGGAACTCCACCTAGTGCCAGCCTTTCATTTGGCATTGAGGACAGGGAGGCTCAGAGAGGTTAGGGAACTTGTTCTAAGTCACACAGCAACTCCCTGGCAGGTTGGGTCCAGGGCTCAGGGTGGTTCCCCTCCCGGGGTCTTCCCATCTGCACAGCACTCCCCTGCCTGGGTGCCAGGGCTCGGGGGGGGGGGGTCTTCTTCAGTCACTCGACTCTCCTGCAGGTGAGGTGTTACTTTTATATCTTCTTTTTCATTTTAATTACATAATGTTTAAGCCAGGAGGACAGGTCAGGGGGTCGTTCTATCTGTCCAGCCTTAATTTAGCATTGATAGAGCTGCCACATGGCAGGGAGAGAGAACTATCAGCTATTGAGAATGTCTTCCATTTATTCAACACCCACTCTGGGTCCTGGACGGTGCTGGGTGCTTTGAGGAGGAGAAGGAGAAACACCTGACCTTTCTTGAGCACCGACCGTGTGTCGAGCTCCAATCCTTTACTGTCACAATCTCAATCCACTCTCCCAGCTATGCCCAGGATAGGCAAGGGGTCTCAGAACTTCCCCCCGAAAACAACTAATTCCCACAATAGCTTCTCCTCCTCCAGCCACCAAAGTAGGCTCCACAGCAGCACTCCTCCTGTTTGCTGGTCACCCTGACCCTCTTTCTGCACCGGGGGAGTGCCCAGCCTTGGGGTGGGGTCCTCGGGACACCCTCAGGGGGCCCTGAGAGAGGCAACAGACCCTCCCGATTTGCAGTGGAGGGCTGGCCCGCCCCTCACATGCACACATGGCCCCCGGGGCATCTCAGATGACCGGCCCTGAGGAAACCTAATCCCACCGAGACAGGGACACCTGAGGACGTAAACAGGAAGGGCGGTGGCCCGAGGCCTGTGAGGATGTGTCCCAGAGGGCTGCCTCCACCATGAGCGAGACTTGCCCCAAAGCCAGGCAGACAGGATAGATGGCAAAAAGGTGCCCCATGAGGAGGCAGGACTGGAACCCCCGCCCCCCCGCCTTGTCTGAAGGACTGTGGAGCTTGTGCTCAAGGGAGCAGCAGGGCTGAGACCCCCAGAAGGCACTAACTACGCTTACGGATATTCAGGTTCCATGGACCAGTAAAATGCCCACCCCACCCCCCAATAGTAAGCCTGACAATGTTGATGCTTGGCCAAAAAGAAAAAAATATTAATAAAATAATTTGCCAACAATTATCACCATCATTCTAACATTTTCGCACCTAAAAAGTAGGCAGAGGAATCATTCCAGAATAGAAGACCGTAATTTACGTTGCAGAAATAAAGTCTTGTGGAAACCTCACCCACTGAACTTACAGTTCCTGTTCCACCAGGGACCCTGGTGGAAACTGGTTCCTCTTAGAGTCCACTGGTCTGTCTGACCCTCTGGGTCTTGTCTTCCTCAGGTACCTACCCCAGGGGCCCTGAGCCCGACGTCCTGAGTATTCACCACCCCTTCATAGGGAGGGCACCTCAGAAGCAGGAACACCCCGAAAGTTCTGGGATGGTGGGGCTGCTCCCCCAGGGACATATCAGAGTCCATCAAACCCTAGTTCTGCCCTGAGCCCACCCTGAGCAGAAACAGCCCTGGCTGCAGAGTAGACATAAATTAGTCCAAGTTCTGGTTCTGCCCCTCCAGCCACATGTGACCATCACCGCCTTGAGCCCCAGGTTCCTCATCTGCGCAGAGGGCTTCACCGCGCCCTCGTGCACAGTGCTCACAGGGATCCGATGGGAGGGTGTGTGCAAGGGGTAGATGCTCAGTCAATACATGTTCTTCTCTCCCTTCTGCTTGGGGTAGCCACATCTTTCCTCCGCCTGAGCCAAGTTGAAGAACTGTATTGTCCCTTGGTCTTGCTCCTGGGATTTGAAAACAAACCCATGGTGCCCTTGGCCAAACCAGGCCCCGGGGCTTGGCTCCCAGTCCTGCCAAGGACGTGCTGTGTGACTTTACCAAGCAGCCCACCCCTCAGGACCTCACTTTCTCCCAGCTGTAAAATGAAGGCTTCGCGCCTGTTGGTCCCTCAGGGCCTTCAAGACTCCAGGTAGGGCTGAGTTGCAAAGCCCTTCCTGTGAAGGGGACCGTGGGAGGGGAGGACCAGGAGAGGGAAGAATGGTCTCACCCTCTTGGCTGTGCTCCTGGCAGCAGGAGCAGGACGTGAGCCTTGAGAATTTTTAGCATCATCCTAAGGACCTCATTTCTGTGCCCCCTCCCCAGGGCCTAGGATAATTGCCCTAGTTGGCTGTGAGGGAGAAAGTCCTTCCTTCCCACCATACCCCAAGTTGCCCAGTTACATGAGAAGGGCCGGCACCCTGCCCCTGGGGGCCCGCCTGCCAAAACGCTTATGCCTCTGTGTCAAGCCTGAAGCCTCGGTGTCTAGATCCTCAGGGCAGACTACCTTGAACTCAATCCCAGTGACATTTCCCATAAATCTGCCCCATACCCCAGGTGCAACCTGATGCCTTGGGGCTATTCTGGGGAGCTGAGGTAGGATTCCGAGCCTCTGGGAAATGTCATCTGGAGCCCAGATGCCCCAAAACAGATGTCCTCACCCTCCTTCCCTGCAGGGATGACGGAGGGCAGAGCTCTGGGTGGGTCATGACTGACGGCCCTGTTTTCTGTCCCTACAAGGACCATCCTGTTGAAACCCAGTTAAATTGAACATTAGAGGAAACTTCAAAGAGGAGAAGCCCTGGAGGTTGGGAGGTGGGTGATAAGAGAGCCCGATGACATAATGTCTAAATTTTATAAGGGGAAGTCAGTGAAACTTGTCTGAAGTTAATAAATCAAGGAAGAGCACTAAGTATTATGGAGATTGCCTCAGGCAGGTGAGAGGTTGGGATGGACAGGAAACTGCTATTTTTTAGAAGCTGTTTGGTGCTATTTGAGGTTTGTTTGTTTTTTTGTGGGGGGGGGTTGCATTTTGTGCAAATATTACATCGATAAAATTTTTTTTTAATATTTTATTTATTTATTTGACAGAGAGAGAGAGAGAGAGTTAGCGAGAGCAGGAACACAAGCAGGGGGAGTGGGAGAAGGGGAAGCAGGCTTCCTGCTGAGCAGGGAGCCCGATGCGGGGCTCGATCCCAGGACCCTGGGACCATGACCTGAGCTGAAGGCAGATGCTTAACGACTGAGCCACCCAGGCGCCCCACATCGATAAAATTTTTATTTTTTTAATTTTCTTAAAGATTTTATTTATTTATTTGAGAGAGAGAGAGTGAGCAAGAGAGAGAGAGAGCACGAGCAGGGAGAAGGGGCAGAGGGAAAGGGAGAAGAAGCCTCCTTGCCAAGCAGGGAATCTGATGCGGGGCTCGATCCCAGGACCCTAGGATCATGACCCGAGCTAAAGGCAGATGCCCAACGACTGAGCCACCGGAGCGGGCGCCCCTACATCAATAAAATTTTTAAACTTAAGGAATTTATCATGAAGTAAAGCACAGTTAAGTGCTTCATAATGTTTCTCCTGTGACCTACTGTGTTCATGGACCCACCAACAGCCATGGTGTGGTGCCACCTTGACCTAGAGACGGAAGTCCCAGGGCTGCCAGGGTGGGGATATGGCCAGCTCCTCTGGGAATGGCCTTAAGGGGAGTAAGTGTTGGGTCTTTGAAAGCGGTCTTAGGTTTCGGAAACAGCCCAAGGTGGAGATCAGCCTGAGTCGGTGGAGAGGAAACAGGCCAAGGTCAGGGGTCTGGAGTCAGAGGCCCAAGTGGGATACCTGGCTCTGCACTCTCTGGGGACTTTGTGGGCACTTCCCTGCAGGGTGCCTTGGTCTCATCTCTACGGTGAGGGTGGCTGGGTGGGTGATGACTCTCCCTGCTGGTATGATTGAGGGGAGAACACGCAAGGGGAGGTGCTCTGCCCCCGGCAAAGGGAACTGCACACACAGAAGAGATTGTTATCTGGAAAAGTAAAGACAGAGATTCCTTAGGGAGCCCAGGCCTCTGGCTGGTTCCCAGGGAGGAGCTTCAGGAAGTCACCTCCCTGAAAGGCAGCATTCACTGGGGAGTGTCCAGTTGGAAAGTTCATGAAGGTCTGGAAGCCAAGATTAATACTGTTCCTCCATCTGAGGCTTCAGTCTCTTTAACAGCAGCTGGTGGTACCCGCTTCCTCACTTTGGCCCTAGAATCCTTACCCTGCACCAGCCTCCAGGTTGTCAGCCCAGTTTGCTGACAGGTGACATCTCTGAGGCTGGGTTTGCTCACCTCTACAGTGGCAACAATAATATTTATGTCATAGGACTGGGTACTCCAGGGCAGGCAGTGTGCCCCGAATGCCCACCAAGGGGTCCCCATGCCTCGTAGAGTGCCTGGAAAACAGAGGATGCTCAATGGTGATTTGCTGAGCAGATGGTATCAATGGGAGGAGCTTATCTAATCATGCATGTCCTATGGCACCCGACTGACAGCTGGGCTGCAGAGGCTGGACACTGGGGTGCTGCCTCTCCCAAGGACCAAGCGCCCTAGGAGTTTCCCCCATCCTGCCTCCTAGACCCAGAAAGGCCACATTCAGGGAATGGGGCTGTGAGCAAGGAGAGGACTTGAGTATTATCCCCAGGGTGAGCCGCCTCAGGGAGGGTGACATCAGCGGCCCTTCCTGTGCCAGGACCCTCCTCCCCCCGCCCCCCTCCGATCCAGAGAGAGAGCAGGACTGCCAAGGGAACAGACCAGGAATGCATTCACTCCCACCCAGCTCCCGCCTCTGTCCAAGTCATGCTCCGCATGAGACCGAGCCCACGGAGCAGCTCGAAAACCTGGACTCGGTTCATCCCATTGTGTGACACTCCCATTACCTTGGGACAACCCCCTGACCTGCCCTGCCCTGCCCTGCCCTGTTAGTCTCTAACTCGGGGCCATTTGCCCTCCCAAGGGACATTTGGCAATATCTGGTGACGTTTTGGTTGTCACAATTGGGGGATGTTACTGGCATCTGGCAGGTGGAGGCCAGGGATAATGTTAAACATCCTCCAAAGCAGGTAGGGAAACTAGGGCTCAGAGAGGCTGGCCAACCTGCCCAAAGTCACACAGCTTGTAAGCAGAAAACCAGGGTTCAAACACAGCACTGTCTAACGCTAAATCTTGGGCTCCTTTTACCGCCCCACAGTTTCCATGAAGCCAGTCCCCAGGACAGGCCTAGGGATACCAAACACCCCTTCCCTAAGAGAAAGAATAAACAGAGACCCCAGTCTGGACCCTCTATCTGACAACCTGGCTTTCTTGGGCACCCTCAGATCGAGAGGGCTTGGAGACCCAGCTTCCCACCCAAAGTAAAACCCTGGTGGGAGGCAGGAATTCTAGAAGAGATCACGCACAAATGCATGTGTGCATACCACCAGGACAGACTGAGAAAGGCGGTCAGGAACTCCTATGAGAGTTTTCCAAACATGAGCTTCAGGTCAGGCCAAACGCACCGTGTAGGGCACATGACTTGGCGTCTCTGAGCCAAGGCTCCTGGCTCTTTCCAGTGAGCTTCATCCCATGCACCACCCAGAACCGCCTGCAGAACCATGAAGTGTTGGGGGGCGGTCCCCTGCCCTACCTGCTAGCCCCTCTCCAGTCTGTCAGGTGTCCGCTTGTGTCCTCCATCAGGCGGCGGGAGGTTGGGGCAGGGGCTGCGTAAGATGGCAGCAAGCCCCACCCCTTCCAGGGACCAAGCGAATGTGTGAGCTGCACCCTAATCACACAGGGCTTCCTCCCGGCCCCAGCCCCACCCCACCCTGTCTGGCAGGCTCCACAGCTCACCTGTGTGTCTGTCCCCAGAGATCTCCCTGGATGTGGATGCAGACCGGGACGGCATGGTGGAGAAGAACAACCCAAGAAAGGTACTGAGTTACCAGGGCACACGGACCTGGACTAGGGGGGCTCGCGGGGCACAGAGCCCCAGGATGGATGCTGCAGGCAGCCATGGTCCTCCCCGCAAGCACAGACAGCTCTCCTTTTATAGATAAGGAGACTGAGGCCCACAGAGGAACCAAGCGCCTTATAGCAACAGCTGCGAATCACCTTCCCCAGCCGGATCCCCCATCCACAGGATGGGACACCCAGTTCACAGAGCTGTTGGAAAACGTCCTGCCACAGAGGAGGCGTTTGCTCTTATTACTTTGCCTTTTTTTTAATGTTTTTTTTAATAATTTTGTATTGTTATGTTCATCACCATACATTACATCATTCGTTTTGGATGTAGTGTTCCGTGATTCATTGTTTGTGCATAACACCCAGTGCCCCACGCAGAACGTGCCCTCTTTAATACCCATCACCAGGCTGACCCATCCCCCCACCCCCCTCCCCTCCAGAACCCTCAGTTTGTTTCTCAGAGTCCATCGTCTCTCATGGTTCGTCTCCCCCTCCGACTTACTCTCCTTCAT